GGTATTTGAAGAACTTGTAGCATTCCACCACAATTTAATTCTTCGTATTTGTAGCCGACACTAGGCAGTTGATACATAATTGAAAAGTCTTGTTTAAACATTTGTTTAACAACAAGTGTGGCCCACAGACATACCCCAATGAAAGAATAGTCCATTCCAAGCTTTTACTTGTTGTTAAACAAATGTTTAAACGACTCTTTTCAATTATGTATCAGCAGCCTAGCTAAAAATATGAAAAATTAAATTGTGGTGGAATGCTACAAATTCTTCAAATATCTATACAATGATAGGTTTCTTTTTTATGAGTGTAGAACACTTAAATATACCATATCGACAAACAAGACACAGATAAGGGAATTTTTTGTAGTCTCATTAGATGTTCTGTTCAACCCTGAAAATGTTTATATGTATATTATAACTGTTTGAAAGGTACAAAAATGATCTTTATGACAAGACATCATTTAAGCATAGTTAAATTTAGCCGGCACTATGCATATGCAATAAATAATCAAAAACTAAAACAATGAACAGACCTTTCAGAAATGCATTATTTTGGCATGAAATGTGAAGATTTTTTGAGTAAGTGTGATCCATATGTCCCATAAATTACAAAAACTGGTAACTTTAATAAACAATAATGAAGCTAAATCTTTTATTTATGTATGTTTTGTTCCACAAGAAAAGTTTGATTTCAACATAAAAGTAACAATTTATTTTGATGTTGACAAAAAAACATCTATGAACCTGAACCAAGTACTGTTATCTTCACTGACTGACTAAATTAATAATTATGTTGTAATGGTTGAAGATTTGGAAAATATTAACCTTAGTTGAACTTAGTTTTAGCACTAACATACAGACCATAACAACAACATAATTAACGATCATACATGCACTATAAAAGTAAACGGTTCGTTTAAAAAAGAAGAAAATTTGAAGTGAGTATAGATTAAACTATACAAATATAAGTGACATTACATTAAATATCAGTTAAATGTTGTATGTATTCATATTTCAACACTGACATAAAATTTTGTACCTTAGTTGTTTTATAATTAACAGTTAGTTTGGAAAAACAATTCCCACACAATACGAAATATATAAAAAAATATAAGACAATGTATGTGAAGTGAGCATATGACATCCTCAATTTACAGTTCACTTACAACAAACAGTAAAATATTATAATATGTGAATAGTGTTTAGTTATTTTAACAATATTAAGACTTCTGTAACAATATCCCTTTATTATAAGTTTTTGTCCTTGTCATAAGTTTTATTGCACAACTCCTGATAATTTCTTATGATGTTAAGTCATTTTAAAGATGTTATCTAATATAGTTAGTTTCTAGAATACATATTCTTCTATCTCAATAGCTATGTGTAATGTGACAGGTAAACTTTTCTTTTTGTAACTATAATACAGTGTTGTACAAAATGTAGCTGCAACAATATTCTGATTTCCAGCACGGGTTAACTCATGCTTCTGTAAGCAGTTAACCAAAGAAGAAAATTGGATTGTAGAAAGTAAATGAGAGATGATGATTTTGATTTCACAATGTTCCAGTTCTACACTCAGGTGTCTACAGTGGAAGTTCTCAAAATTGGCCTTTCATAATATTGGCCACCCCTTTCCTCCAATCATAAAAGATATATATATATAACCATATTTTCCATGTTTTCCCTTTTTAAGCATGTAAGGTGAAACATAAAAGATTAGTTTTCAAAAAATATATCATTAAATTTTTTGTCACCATTTTAAGTAAATAGGGCAGTAAGAGGGCAGAAGTAACTGGTTGTGTAAAGACAGTAGGAATTGTGAAACCATGAAAACTGTTACCAAGACTTACAGAAAATAAAAAAGTAAGTTAGAGTATGAAATTATAGAATAAATAAATTATATTTCTACGATACTACGAGAAAGCATAATTAGGATAAGATTTTAATTTAAACAGGAGAGTATGCTTATTTATTTTTGAGTGTTTTTAATGTACTTAACTCATACGTGGAGTTCATTATATGTTTGTTCATTTGGAAAGTATATAATTAATTTAGATTATTTACGGTTAGTGAAAAACAGTAGATCTACGTTTTTGTTATAGATTCTCAGTAAAATTACATCCTGAAAATTGCTCTTTGAAGTCATGAAACCAGTTGAAGAAATTAATAAAGGAAAGGAAAAAACAGAATGGTCTGATATTCCAGCATTTTGTTATATATGCTCTCTCTCTCTCTCTCTATATATATATATATATACATTTTTTACATAACTTAAACCTTATTTTACCTGCCACCTCTTTAAACCAGACACTTACTATTTTTTCTTTGTATACATATTTATTTTCCTGTAAAATTAACCCTAATATTCCAAATGATCAGTTACTATCACAATCATTTGTACAAAAATGTTCTGCCATAGTCCGGACAAACCAGACTGAAGCAGATAGATACACATGCTAATCCCATATAATTTTGTTTATATAATTAAAAACAAATTTTATGCATTGTAAAACAGTTATAAGAACATTCAGCAAAACAATAATGTATATCAAGTTATTACTTGAAGACAAAATTAACATAAGAGAATGGAAGTTGACCTAAAAATGCTACAGTGTGACTTACCAGAGAAATACAAAGTCAACAAGTAACTGTTGTCGATAGAAAGCACCCCTACCATCACTACTTTGTATACAAAGAATGATATTGTTTAATTAAGTATTTATTTAAAGATTTATTTAGTATTGCAGTAATTTTCACTCAGACTCTGAATATTTCAAGTATTATCATTAACATATTGTGCAATGAAATGTTTAAAATTAAAAATAGAAAAAATGTATATACCTTTGAATTTTTCATCAAATAATCTGGAAAATCTTCTTATATATTTATATCCTTAATTGTAAGTTTTTACTTTTTTTCTGAAGAAGTTTATTTTTGATATTTCATTTTCCTTTCCTATCCTTTAGCATTATTACTTATTGTGATACACATCAACGGGCATTCTCTGGGCTTCCTTGGCAGCAACACTTTAGCCATCGTCAAAACAATGGGCCATTTGTCTACTACACTGAGCTCGATAAACCAAGGCAGTTTGGCTCACATTTTGAAAAATTATTAAATTTTCTAATATGCATTTTAAAACATAAAACTAAAACTTAAATAAAATTTAATTGTCTATCTAACTAACATATTTATAGGTGAGAAATAACACTAAAGTGCTGGCATGGATGCAGGCAGCAACAATGCTAAGAGCATTTGACAAGTTCTCTATGGAATTCTTCACACCAATTTTTAAATAACTGTTGGGAAATAGTATTTCAAAATGCAGTCTTTCTATTGGTTACAAACATGTAGCTCAACCAAATATAATTGGCTGAGAAATTGCAACTGTATGTGTACAGAGTGGGTGTGGCATCTGTCAAGAGTTCCAAGAAACTTATTTCTCTTTTCGACCAACATCCCACAAGGGGCTTGAAAGATGAATGTGTAAACAGAACAATTAACCTAGTTTCTGTCTATACATAGAAGTATAGTGTACAGAAAGAACTATTTAAGTTACGGAGACAAAAGTTAAAATTTTGTGAACTTGTGCATCAAACTGAAGTTTAAGAATTTTTCTTTCAGTTTTTTTTTAAATAAAGGAATTAAAACTTAGATAATATAAAGCTTTAAACTTTAATGTAAATTTTAATGCTAATTTCATTGGTATAAAATGATAGTAAGATTGCTTATTTAAATTTTGAATGCAACAAAGTAAAATCTTGTGACATTCACACTACAGTGGTGCCCATAATTATAGGGTTAAAGCAAAGTGGCAAATTCAAATCTCAATAAGATAACTTTTTCTATCAGAAATTAATGTACATTTTAAAAGCATGCTTAGCTTCTCTGGGTATCATGTTATCCATCTACTTAGTTAATTATGGCTTATATAACTCAAATCAGCAAGTATGTCTTATTTTGGAGAAACACCAGTAAAACTGTATGTATGCAGCTACTGTGAACAGTTTTCTCGAAACACAAGAAAGATACCTGAGTAATTCTTGATTGGCTAACAGTTTCTTCAAGTGTCTTGAGAGAAGCTTCTTTTCCATTGCTAGTCGTACCCATGCTCTAGCATATCCAATGTCGGTTTTTATTTCTGTCATAGCTTGAACATTCCTAAAGACAACATTCATACAAGATGAAACATACATAACCTTACATTATTTATTAAAAACAGTGTAACTGTTTAACTAACAGATTTGAAAAAATTCTTAGATAATTACACTAAATTAAGGGGTTGGATCATAGCAAAGTAGTAAGACTGAAAAGGGGGGAACTGGGTTCTTGGCATCTTCACCAATAATTTAGAGGTTTTCCTACTTTGAGCAGTCTAGACAGACTTCCTTTTTGCCATTAAAACTGCTATGATTACATTTTAGCAATTGACATTATACATTTGATTATGAAACCTACAAAACAAATGCCTACTATGCACAATAATGTCAGAAACACAATTTATTATGTCACATTTGAAATTTAAGCATTAAAAAAATATCAGAACATTCATTAAAGTGATTATAATTATGTTTTGAAAGCCTTTGACAGCCCATATCTGTTTGTGTACATCCCATACTTCCTTGGCCTTTGAAGTTTACTGAGTGCTTATTTTTGTTTACAACTTATATACAAAAACCAATTAGACCTGGAATAATGAAAAGTGTTCATTAACAAGCTCATACATCTGTTGCTCAATCTTCTGTGGCTTGCTTCACACCTGCAAGTGTTTGATTATTTTAATTTAATTGTGCTGTGAATAATTTCACCTGTTCAACTTTAGTATGGTGATTTCGATGTAACTTTTTACCATTGCTTCCACAGTTCAAAAATCAATTACACACATGAAGAGAAACACCTTGTTAACTTTTAACAGAAAATAAAAAAATATACCCACTTCCTACATAGATTATTTTGTGCATATCTTTCTTTGCAATGCTACCAATGCCATTTTCTTTTCACACTTTTATTATTTCACACCATACTTCTTTTAGCATAATAGAGCACTTTGCTAATCATATACTTCTTTTCAGCAGTAGTTTTAAACAAATAACATCTAAAATTTGTTTTTGGCCAAGACAGTACCCTGAAATTAATATAATCTACTGCTCTAGAACACTGCAAACTTCGGAGTTGTGTCATAGAGAGAGAGATTGGAGAAGATCCTCAAATATTATTACTTTTGAAGCAGGTACTAGTAATGAAAGTACAATTGTGATTAATAATGATGTCAGGTGGATTCCCAGAGAGAGAAAACATCACATATTCTTCTAAGATTCTATCCCAATTCCTTTAGTAATGTAGCGTATAAATTTTTCAGTACTTGATTGTATCAAGAGTATTCTAAGCAGGATCAGTTGGCATTCCTGCAATGTTGACAATTGGAAATTCTAACTTACTTAGCAGACTGCAATGAGGTTGATATTTTTCTATACAACTGTACTATTATCAGATATTTCATTACACAACAATAACAAAAATAGTTTTATTACTTTTCTAGAAGTTAATATTCCAACTTTTTGGGGAAGAGCTTTTCTGACTGGAAAAATTACTGTGAAATTATTAATTTGTATAATAATAAACTTGGTTCATAAAAATAAACACCAGTCATACATAAAGAATACTCAAGCTGGATGTTTTACAAATAATTTTTTTTAAAGTTTTTAATACTTAAGAAATTATGCACTAATTCTTGAAATAAAGCCAATACATTTTTTTCGTTTCACAAACACATATTTGTATCTGTTAAAACTCTATATTGTTTAGGACATAAAAGCCTTCATAAAACTAATTTTGGCCTCAATTATTTGCATTACTTAATTATCACATATTTCCCTAATAGGATGAAGACCCAGAAACTACAAGGATAGAAAGAATTAGTTAAATTTTAACATATATCAAAGAAGCTGGCAAGCTTCTTTCTAAGTTATGGTCTTTGCAGCATAACATGAATATGTAATAACTCTCTCTGCACATTATCTTGAAACTTACAGAAGAAAATTAGAGAGCTTTTATAAAGTTTGCCATATTTGGACATAAACAATCATGTATTTTACAAACGAAATCATCTCTCATTTATTGTGGTGACTCACTACCAGAACATATACAAGTTGATACATTAAATCCTACATTACTTACAAGGTATTAAATAAAATTTTAGTTTAACATGAAAAATGAAGCTTATAAATCTATTGAAAACATACATTGTTGATAACTTACTTAACATCATACACCAGTGATATAGGAAGAGGTTTCAGTGCTGGAAGGTCGGGTGTTCTTGGTCTTCTTTTGTCTTTGTTTTCCCTACGAATAGATGATGATTCTCCCTCCAAAGCTAATGTTGATATATCTGCAAATAAATTTAACTTATCTAACAATTGGCATAATACTAATACACATTAAAAATCACACCAAATTACTTCAATCTAAAAGCTGCATGAATAATTCTTAGCCCTAGGATTCATGGGTAATAAAATATACACAAATGCATAGTAGTGTCAAGGTCCGAGAGATTCCTCTTATGCATTCTCAGATTAACAGATACATGTTTTAAAAATTTTCCAAGTAGACATAAAAAAAAAAAGGATTAAAGGAACCGAGAAATTTTTTGAGACAAGTTACATGTGACTTTTATTTCCTTAGTTGTACAAGCTTTTGACTACTTTGCAACAACCACCATCAGGAACAGTGACAGATTACTTAAACCAAATTCCAATAATAGTTACAATTGACTTACAGAAAATTCTTGTAAAACAATTCTTCAAAACCAGTTCTTCGAAATAACAGTTAATCGCATGTCCAATTTTTAGATTGATTTTTAATTATAATTTAATATAGTGTAAGAAAGTTAAGAAAAAGTATTTAAAAAAAAGGCATGTAGCATACCTTTTCGATGAACTTTCGAAGTGAAATGGACCGATGTTATTTAATACACAAGGAAAGACATATATGGAAAAACAGTATATCTTCAATAAGTTGGAGTAACTAACCCTAGATTTTGTTTCCCACATAAATTCAGAATGGTTTTTTTATGCTGTCTATGGATGGCAACTTAGCTGCCGCAGTTTGGCTGAGTCAAATGATGCGTGTGAGACAATATAATGTGGTGCATCATGTGTATTCTTTGAATCATTTCGTACACTGTGCATGTGCATCACATTCTTAGTTTTAGTACAAGTGGTATCACCAGAATGGTTGTACTTATGAACTTTCAACTAACGTTATTACCAATTGTTATCATACGACCTTTGCATTTTTTTCAAATTGCTCACATTTCCAATAAACTTTTTCCTTCACTTGTTTGTCTTTAACAAATAAACATCCATTGAACTCTAACTTAGGTTTGCCTTTCTTACTCTCATTTAACATTTTGGGGGAAACCAGTTTGCAATAAAATTATAATATTTTTCTCAATATAATAAACACACAATGCACTGTTTGTAAACAGTGACTAATAGTTGGTAGATGGCACTTTCAAACACACTTCTCTAGATGTTTCAGATTATCCAGCACTCCCTAGCAACAATGGCAGAGACTAAAACATCACTTGCTCAGCTGTCATATGAAGTTGAGGTCATTGACATTACAAGGTGTTATCACTTGACCTGCATTGTGACCATAGTTCCATGTTTCTGCTCTTAAGGGAATTAAAATGAAACAAACATTATACAATCAGTGTGGTATGTGAACATTTGTAGTGTTACTTATGTAGTGAACATGTAATGCTTGTGAGTGTATGTTTCAAAGAATTGTTATTTTGAAGAACTGTTTTTCGAAGAATTGATTTTGAAAAATTTACCGCATACAGTTACAATCATCCTATTAAAATCATAAGAACATATAAATGACAATATATGACAAACTGTTAATATTGTTGCTTCTCTTAACACACTGTATAACTGAACTTGACTTACATTAATAACTGAGAAACAACAAGTAGCCAGCAATGAGTAAACTTGCAATTATATCTTCCATTAGGAATGTGACTTATAAAGCAATGTAATCAGATATACACAAAGAACTTTAGAAAAAGCTTACAAACCCTTTTAAGTGTAAAGCTTTATTAAAAGATACATGATATGATTACAAACTACGATTAAACTTTTTTTTTTCTGAAATACACTTATAGCCTTTGTAGATACAGAATGTTCGCTGGCTTAAAATATTTTCATGTCACTGCATTATTTCTCACTCTATGGATTATCTAATGATAAAACTGTTACTGAACTACGGTGTTGTATTGGTCCTGTGGTTGTACTTTTATAACATATTTTCAACATTTTGGTTTGATTTCGAGAATAAAATGTAAGTTTGCAAACACCAAAATGTATACATTAGTAGTTTTTTGTTGACCTGTGAAAACAAAATGCATAAAAATAATCATAAAACTATAAAAGCTCGAACTACCTTTTTCACTGAAAACAATATCTTATTTGACCAAATATAGAGGGCTGAGTACACTATATTAAATGATTATGAATATGCACATCCTCAGCAAGTTACGTGGCAACCATAGCCAAAATAAAGTTGGATTGGTACGAAATGCAACATAACTACATTTTGCCATTATTTGCCATCTGGGGGTTAAAATGAAGCCACCAAAAATTAATTGCTTTTGGGAAATATTCATGACAGCTCTTTCCAATACAAAATATTCATACACTAAATTCACAGATGTGTTCAGATCATGGTTTATATTTTACAAAATAGGGATATCCCTTGTGTTTAAAGGCATTGGAAAATAAAAGAATATGAATCAATTTGGGCACCAGGACAACTCGAAAAATATCCACAAAAATATATCCAGCCAATGATTTTCTGGAGAAAAAGAAATCTTTAACACACATATATATAATCATTAAATATTTGGTCCACGATATAAAATCTAATAGCAAATTTGACAAAATGTCATAACATTATTCACATTCCTAAATTAATTTAGGTTACTATATGATGAAATAAAACAGGCTCAAAACCCCATACAGATTTATATTTTTATTGAAGATACAATAGGGAAAGGTTTTATGCTATATCATACTCGAAAACAAACATATATGTCAAGTTTGCTAAGGCCTGGTTACAGATTAATATCCAATTAGTCAAAGAGGTTAATACATAACCAATCACGGGAAAATTATTTTTATATGAGAAACTAATGAATTGTCTTATTGTCCCAATTAATAGCCCAAACCTTACCATAAGTACCTAAATCTAAACCTTTTTGGTTAATATATATAAAATCAACTAGGGTTAATTTTTTAATAGAATGACTTTAAGTTTAAAATATACCTCCAACTTATCTTAATCTAATTTATAGTTACATATTTGTATTGGAATAATATATAAATGTGCATTAAGTATATAAATGTCATACATAGGTGAATTATACAATTTTATACACACAGATCCAGTGTATATGCCTGGATAGGTGTATAATTCAATATTAATAAATATATACATACATACACTTATATCAACATAAGTTCAGAAGTATTTAACAAAAAAGCAATAAAAAAACTGGTAAAACTGGAAGGTGTTCAGCATTCCATATACATTGGAGAAACATTAAATGACACTTATGTTTAAGCCTACAAATTTAAGTAACTGCATTCTAGAATTTCAAGTTTGAATGATGATAACCAGCCTCAGGAAGTTATTACAAAGTCATTACAGAATTGATATTTATAAAATAAGTGATTAAGGTCTAGTTCAGTGGTTTCCAAACTTTTTTCACTAATGATATCCTAACCCACTTACCTGGATCTGCATGACACCCCTGTTGCCACATGCAATTTTTTTTTTTCCTGTTCTTAATTATTCTTCATTTGGTGCAACTCTTGCAATGCCCTTAGCAATTTGCCCGACACAGTTTGGAAACCACTAGTCTAGTGTTTATAAACTGACAAAATATATACTAAATTAAATAATCATTAAGGCACTTATATTACAAAAAAGTATTGGTTTCACAACAAAATAACTTTGCATCTTTGCTTTTTCCTTTCACCCCTAACAATTGCCATCTGAACAGTAGCTTATGAAATCCAGTTTTTTTTTTAGATGGGTGGTGGATTGGACAGATTCAGCTTCCAGAAAATGTTACGAATAGAAAATATAAATACATCAGCAAAATTAAGTTACTACAAGAAATTTGAAAAATTGCCCATACACTTTTCACTTTTCTAAATTTCTATTTATTTCAAGTTTTCCATAAATATTTCAATATCAGATAAGATTGCATAATGGCACAAAAAAAAGAGCACTCATAATATCTGTATCTTTCCTATAATGGCAGAAAGTGAATTTTAAATTGTTTCAGTTACAAATATATATTGTAATTAACAGAGTAATGTATGAAAGCAATATTGCATTTATTACAGATTTTTAAAGCAAGCTCTTTTTTTAAATAACATATCACTGTAATATTAAAATCATCCAAACAATGCTACACTAATGATCCTGGGCAGAGAATAACAAAGATTTCCTAACTTGTCAACAGAAACAGTATTATACAGTGAAATACAACTCAGTAACCAACATGTTACACATTTTCAATACAAACTTTCTGATATTTTATTACATTTATAGTTTTGTTTAAACCAACTCTAACAAATGTATTTTAATATAAAAATATTTATAATTTCAAAAACTCATAGCTAGTAACATTCTAATAAACTTAAGAAAATAAATAAAATTAGTGATGAAGTTTAGTGTGTTTTTTTCTTTTGGGCATGTTATATAAAACTTACCAAAGTTGGCAAGGTGACTAGCTATAGTGCTGAAAGCCCCACTTTTAAGTGACAAGAAAAATTCAGGCAGACCAAAACTTCGTGTGTTCTGTGGATGGACTGGAACTAAAAGGGTGCAGGAGAGCAGGATTGTACAGAAAACATAGGATATAGAAGAGTGGGGAAAAAACAAAAATAGACCAAAAATGCATACAAAACAAACAAGTTAACAAAAAACTTGTGGGACTCAAGTGTATATGCATATTTGTTACAAGTGTCATCAAAAATCACTATTTCTTAACTCATATTGTTTAGTTATTTTGCATCAGTTATACATAAACTAGTTTGAAAATTATTAATCAAAATAAAATTTATCAAGGAGATATTAATAAAGAGAAAACTTTAATTGTATCAAATTTTCCAGTGCTTTATCACACTTAAATTTACACATTCTACGATGTTTTTGAAATACTGTATGTGTTTTTATGACAAATTTCAAATATTTGTTTTTCTGATGTGTTCTAGTATTCTAAGACCATCAGTAATTATATTAAGGCAATTGTACTTCCACTCTGATAATGAATTAGTAACAAAGTTACTTTTTTGCAAAATAAACTGCCTGTAAAAGATACAGAACGATATAAACTGGATAATAAAGTTTTAACAAAAATGAAAAAACATTACAGTGATATGCAATTCATTTCACTACAAATCACTGTAAATACATTCCATAAAATTATAGCTGCCACTTTCTTACAGCTTAAGTTACATGCATGAAACAGATTTAGAAAAAATAGTATGTCAGGTTAGAGTGTAGCCAAATAAATACAGTACATCTTAAAATATAGCTAAAATGGATGTGATTGTTAAAAAAAGAAAAACAAGGCCACCTACAGTCAATCCGTTTCCTGAGCACACACCAAGCCAAGGCTGTGAAATTGTCATGTTAGCAGGAGGCAAGAAGAACAGGAGACAAGCAGAGATTAGTGAATTATAAACCTTTACAGACAGACAGATAGACACACACACACACACACACACAAAAGACTTAAAGTATGCATACTTTACATTCTTAACACTAATTCCAAATACTATTTTCAAAGTAACCATGAATTTTTAAATATTTAAAATTATATTTAATTGATACATAACATACAGAACTTCAATTGATTTTCTGTATTTTTCAATAATTCATGCCTGATTTTCATGGACAACATAAGTTAAAAGCATAATGCATTTTGAAACAGGTAAACTATTTTTTAACTTGTTAGTGTTAACCAATGTCTTCTATATTTAATAAGTAATGATACATGTTCATTTAATTAAGAAACTTTTTAATAGGTGGTTAAAACAAAATACTACAAGATAACAGAATCTGCAAAAAAGTTAAAGAATTATTCTGCAGTTCCTCTTTATACAATCTTCATAATTATTCAAAAACATTATCCTTCAAGTAGAGCTTCCCTATAAATAGTCCAAAACTATAGTTTAAAAAATTTACTCAGAGTTTTAACAAAGGAATTGCTTGTAGTTGTAATATCTCATAAATGCAGAAAAAACAAACAAACTATAAGCTTAACTTCTTTTATTACCAGTATGTTAAAGTTCAATATTTCAATAACAAGGGTACAACAGCTAAATAATGACCTGTGTTAGGTGTGATCACACTTTTACATGACATTAAAAAGTTCAGAGCACAGATAATTACTAAACGTATGGTCTAAGTGTAAAAGCTTTTAAAGTGCTGTAATAATGACTACTGGCTTACATCAAATTGCATGCAGTACTAGATGTAATAGTAGTAATATATAGTTTGAAATCACCAATATTATGCCACAAACATTTATTTATGAAATAAAAAGGTTAGTTTCCAAAAAATCATCTTTATGCACTTCATAGTAAACAAAGTCTGTGACGGTCTTCAAAATTAAAGGATGAATGAGACTGAGCAATGAAGACTGACTGAAAAGGGATTGATGCAAGTTTGAAAATAAATTTCATTCATATGTTATCAGATTTTATGCAGAACCTACGAATGACAGACACATACTTTTTCATCAGAGTTTATGCTGTAACAAGACTTTGTATCACTTGTGTTCTCACATACCCATTTTATTTGAACAAATTTCAGTGTGAGGTGTCTATCTACATTAGAAGTTTGTGAAAATTCTACATAATACAGTTCACATGTCATAAAGTCCTCATGGTCCAATATATTTACTTTTTCTATACACAATGATGCCAAGTTGTACAAAAATGGATTTTGGAGTGTTTTTTTTTTTCATCAGCCTACAAAAAAAAATCAGAATAGGAATATCAGACTTCTCCAAAAATATCTTTGATATTGTAATGTAAACTTTTGAAAATATGGATAAATCAGTTAACCTCATGCATATGATTGGATCAAATTGTGCATGTCATTGTTACATCCAAATATAAAGAACTTCATTATCAATATATATCAATAAAGTTGGCATGAAAACATATTATATAATTCAAATTTTTATATCATCTAAGTTTTAGTTCATTAATTCTAAAATAAAATATTTAAATAAATTCTTAATGTCATGTGAAGGTATTGTGCTCTGCAATCTCCCATACATATTTTGTTCTCCCTTATATGGATTTCAGATTGTCCAACCAATCAGAAAAACAAAATATAGACAGTATCAAACCAGCAAATAAAATTTGAATCTCCTCCCTTTTCAATTTACTGAGACATCAATAAGTTTGTAAGATCCACCAGAGAAGCCCCTCCCATCTCTTCTTGCATTTGAAGTTACTTACTTGCTCAAACCTACTTGTGTAATAGACATATTTATAGCTAATGAAGGAGCATATTATGAAATACATACATCTCATGAGTGTCTGTTTATTTGTGGCTGTCTCAGGTAACAGTTCACAAGAAAAGTTGTTGCTATGAGCAATAGTATTTTTTTTTAAAGATTTTTATAACTTAGAAAACCAGATTAATTATAGTAGTTTTGGGAGATTTTACTCTCATATCCAATATTTTTTTTGTGTTCTAAGATTCAAATTTGAAAGCTACATGAATTATCTTTGGGACAAGAAACATAGTAACAAAAAAGTAGGGTTGCTGAAACATGGCAAGTAGCTGATGGTATTGTGAAAATCTTGAATACAAGTTACACTTACCACCTATATGCAAAAATCCATACAAACACTTAGAATGACAAAAACTTAGAATAAAGAACAAAAAATCTGCTCAACCCTATATGTTATGCTTTGAACTTCTAGCTGACACTCACACTCTTAATTGATTATATTCATGCATTTAAAAATTAACATTGAGATACTAAAGATCGTTTCTGGTTTTCCTATTTTGAGATTTTGTTTCTTGCAAGCTGCTGGAAAAAACACTACAAAATCAATTTTTGCACAGCTTGATTACATTGTATAAAGAAATAGTATATGTGTTGAACTGTGTAAAGTTCAGGACAAAAGTACTGTAATATCTAGAACCCTCATGAGCTTCTAATATAGATGGACATCTCAAGTATTAAACTTGGCCAAAGTACAGTGGGTACCCAAAGACACAAAAAATACAAAGTCCTCTTTTTTACAATAAGAAATCTAGTGATAAAATATATGTCTGTCCTTCTTAGCCTACAGTGTATTAATTAACACACAGTTAGTAACATGACTGACTACATTTACTTTCAAACTAACATCAATTTATAGCGATTCCTTTTGGGACTAATCTCCATTGCTTAATGTCAGTCCTCCTTTTTTAAGCATTATAAAAAGGCAATGATGTGTAGCTAAGGTTTTTAATCAACTAAACAGTACTGGGTTCTCTGAAACACGAGTAAGTAAATATACAATAACTGTAAACAAGGATATTTTGCACCTCAGAAATCCACTGATAGTCAGTGAAAACCTATGTTACAGTGTTGTAGGATTGCAGACAAGTGCCAATTACTATGTTTAATAATCTAAACCTAGAAATACGTATATGCCACTGTTCTTTGGATACCTAAATAGTGTAAGCCTAATCTGCCATTGGACTTATCATTTCCTTTCAGAGCTCACCAATATATAAGGTTTTGAGTTTATCAGTGTGGTCACAATTCAAATAATATCAATGTACTGATGTTGTTGCCTTCTTTACTTTGGTGCCAACTTATATTACTTTAAAGGCCACTAACAGATAGCTAAAGTACATTTAAAGAATGCATTTGGTATAAACTGAAGACTAGTGTAACTTGAAGTTTTAATTAGAGAATACTTGCATCCTTTACCAGAAATACAGTTAAAGATATAAACAAATTCACAGAAAAGCAAATGGGGTCACCTGTTTCAGTATTTATAATGAAAGAAACTGCATCATGATTGCTGTCAACTTTCAGAGAAGGCCTAAAAATTTGGAGATAATGTGTTAATGATGTGTTTGTCACATTATCTGCAGGAACAGCTGAAAAACTGTTTAAGCATGATACTAGTCAAATCTTTGAAACAGTTTAAAGAAGCACAGAAAAAGATTCATTTACTATTTCTAGACTTTTTACTGATTCAAGAATGAGATACAAATTATCTACTCAGGGCATCATAAATCTAAAGATTTAGGTAACCTTCTGAACTGTCATCCTATTGCCACTCAGAACATAAAGGATCTTTATATACATTCCTAGTTAACAGAGCAACCACAATTATCATTAAACCAAAATATGTGCATGAGGAAAAGGAGGAAAATGAGTCTTTCTGTCCAAATGTTTTTGTTCTGGTTTTTTATCATCATCATCAACAAATCAACATTTATGTCTACATATCTTACCAGGCGTTAGAAAATTAGGATCAATAGGTTTTCCTGAATTTTTACATTCTTCAACTTCAAGGTAGCTAAGTAAATGGGACCACAAGGCAGATTTACCCTACGAGAGAGAAAATAAAATACACTATGACAACCAATTAATTCATAAATACATCTCAGTGTAATTATCTGACTGCAAACCACATACTGAGTGGACTATTTCCATTTCCTTTGAAAAATTTATAAAACTGTGCCATTTTCAAAAATTCTACTGTTAAATAAAACACTTTTCACTGTAAACCATGATACGAGCTTTTCATAACATAAAAACCCTACCTGATCTGAATATAATGAAAACATTTACACACAACACCCTACTTGCTTTGACTGCCGATTTGACCAAACCATGAATCTCCACAATCAATAACTCAACTGCTTTGACTATATAACATGATTTTCACACAGTAACCAACCTGTAACAACTGTATAAACCATGACTCTACACAGCAACATAAACTCAACAATCTAAACATTTTGATTATAAGCCATTACTCTTTATACAAGTTACCTACTCTGACTATAAGTCATGTCCCTGTGTTCAACAATCTACATGCTTTGCTTATAAGCCATTATTCCCTATATAACTTACTTACTCTGACTATAAATCATGTCTTTACACTGAAAAATACACATGCTCTGAATAAAACTCTGAATTTATACTTAACAAACTACCTGTTTTGACTGTAAACCATGACTCCAAACACGTTCTAAAAGATCACATAAACTGGCTATCATTGTATTCTCTTCCAGGCCAGTAATACTTATTTCTCCATGGCCTAGTTCTACTGCTTCTTGTCCCATCTTTTCAACCAGCATTCTTTTTGTCTGAAATTAAATGTATTCAATCAAAATTCTTTTTCAGATATTGTGAACTGAAAAATAATATGTTTACTCTGTATAAATATTGCCAGTATGAACAACTGCGAAAGTATTTGAAGAAAAGAAATTTATGTGTAAAAACTTAATTTAATTTTTACCAGCTTTTCTTACCTTAATACTTACATCTATTCATTGTCTAGCCACCAAATAAAGGACTTGCTTAGAATGACATGATTTGCAAATACAAAAGAAAAATCATACTGTCAAACAATATGGTTTACCCCTTTCTGACATATTTTTTGTAATGCCCAATAAGACACCATTGCAAGTTGATTCAAAGAATTTTGATTCTGTACAGTTTAAAATCTGAAAAAACTAAATCATACATTTTTAATAAACAACCATTTGATTTTTTTGTTGAAAAATAGAATGGTACATATTAGTTTTACAACACTGCTGTATAAAACAAAAAACAGAATAAGACTATGAATTTGTTATTAAACTCATGATCAAGATCAACAAACATACAAGATCTGTGAATTGCATATTAAACCATTAAGCTTCTTTGTCTTTAATCACGTCAAAATTGAATTCTTTCCTACCACAAGAATATGTAAATATTCCAAAAAATATTTTAGGTTTTTGTTCATCTGATGATATGAATCTTTTAATTTTACAATCACAAATTATACTTAATGCAAAGTTTCTCAAAACTATTCCTTTAAAATATTATATAAACACCTAACACACTTGGCTTCTATTCTTAAAAAAGATTTTTCATAACTATCACCAACACATCTTTGCAGACTTCCCATTAAGCTGAAATTACATAGTGAACACAATTCTAAATAAAATATATAAGAAACAAACTATGGTAAAGAAGGAGATGAATAACTAGTTCACTTACTCTCATTTTGCATTCTTTAAGTAAGGCCTCTACAAATTTCCAGTTTGTTCGGGCGATAATGGCAGGAGACATGTCAGAAAGCTTAGGATGGCGAACTGACTTGCTTCGGGCTTCCTGGATATAACGCTGAAAAGAATATTCATACACATGCTTTACTCATTCTTATACACAGAATATGTAGATATAAATCATGTTTAATGCTCCTAAAGGGGAATTATATATTACAGCTGCACCTGATTGGATTATGTTTGCTGATTGAATTTTGTGCAAAGTTACTCAAGAACCAGCCATCCCTAATATTGAAGTGATAGAACAGAGGGAAAGCAACTAGTCAACACCACCCACTGCTAACTTTTGGGCTATGCTTGTCAGACCGAATAGCAGGATAATACCATCACTCTTATTAGACACACCTGGTCCCAAAGAGTGAAGTGTAATTATTTTTCTTTGTTTGCTAGAAACAGGTTGCAAATCACAGAACCTCAGTTCAACAGCTTGGCATGCTAACTATTGGGCTGCACTTGGCCCTAAAGTTTCATGAAGACAAATCCAAGATTAGTTTGACTAACACTTATGCTCCCGCTTGCTATGAATGTGCTTTAGTAAACTACAGGGCTCAACCAATATATGCTTCACTCTTAAATGTATTTTATTCATCAAGCCAGAAGCACAGTACTAAGTTATGACAGCTTGTCTTTAAAAGTTAATTATCCATCTTCTGTCAGCTATAATTGAAAGTGCTGAGATTAGGTGTTTTTACTTGAATCAGATAGATTTGTCATTGAACACAGATGTGCCAACCTTAACACTTTCTGTAGAAATTGTTTGGAATTTTTCACACAAAAAATTTAATTTTCTAAACTTTACTCAGATACTTTCTAGTATACAAATACTAATTTTGACAGCAGATTTTAAACTAATTCTTTTATCTATATATAAACCAACAAGTTGCAACTTTAACTTACATAATGTTATTATTCTTAAAAGAACTAATTGTTAAAGCTATTATAATACACGTTTGCTATACGTAAACCAGTAATCTTTGATGTCATTTAAATTAGTTACAGAACTGTGGTTAATACTGACTCATATTTCAGATTCCTATGCAGATTATATTTCAAAGACAGCTTAATTCTTTCCTCTCGCAGTGTAAACATTTCTTACATAATCCTTACAAACTTCCCAAAATACAATTATGTAAATTAAATAAACTTTGAAAAATCATTTTGAGAAATGGTTAGTGAATTCAATAAATCTACAAGAAAGAAAAATTTAAGAGATTAACAAAAGTGAAACAAGAGTGGTAGTGCAGTTAGATAAAAACAGAGAAGTGAGTGCATCAACACTAAAATTTTTAGTACTCACTCTCCATAATCTGGCATGCTTCTCGGCTACCTCGTACTAGTCACAAACATAAATAAGTATATGGAAATATCTGGTTATCAAATAGCTAATAATTCCCATACATTTTATTCTATGTTTGAAAAATAAATTACAAGAAATATTTCATAAAATCCATTATTTTAGAATAAATGAAATGTCTAGTTTATGAGCTTACCAATTACATAATATAAGGGTTTATGCATTTATCTACAGTACAAAAACTATTTCCTAACTACAGTACACAGCGTGGCCACAAGTAAATAGACACCACCTTTTCAGAAAAAATTAAATTTTTCAGTCATATTCACATGAATTGATATATTTATAATTTAATTAATATTT